TTACTTAGATTGAAAAAAACAAGGATGAAAGGCGCCGCGTGTCGCTTACGTGTGTTAAGGGGAACGCATCTATAGATATAGTTTGATTTTCATTTGTTCTTTGAATAGCTGTGCAATCCGCAGTCAACGTTCAGTTGCATATTCCCTTTTCATATTCCCTTTTCTCTCGCAAGATTTTGACAAAAACGCCTTATATAGTGTGACTCTTATTATATATAAGTAACTTACATGTGGCTATAAAATTAAATGTACCTAATAATCTATATTTGTAAGTGTTATTTAAAGTAATCTCATTTTAAGAAAAATTAGGACATTCTGATGTCAAAAATAATTTTTTTCAAAATTAACTTTTTTTTAAACTTAAGTTAATTCAGTCTTAACTTAACTTTTATTAAGTTAATTCTTTATTTCTTCAACTTTTAACTTAACTTTATTAATTTTATAAGCCATTAATTTTAACTTAATTCAGTTTTAAAAAAACATTAACTTACCAACTCTGTGATGTATAGTAATTAAACAATGTACGAGTACAAAAGTAAAGGAGTACAACTTATGTGTGACCTTTCAGGGATCGTTTTATTTCGACATTTTCATATGTATTCTTCTTTAAGGAAAAATTAGCACATTGAAATAAAATGAATAAAATCCTTCGTATCAATTCATATCGTTTCAAAATCGCTGTCAATTATGCTTGAATAACTTAAAACTTAGTTTTCAAATTATTGATGCATAAATGATATATGATAGCGATTTCGTTAGGTATAATTTTCCTTCAATGTGATGTCATTATTATGACAATTTTTTGTTTCTATAAAGAAAAATAAAGAAGAAACTTTATTTATGTATGAGTTCATATATAAATAATTCAGAACGCGCTTTTATCGATAAAAGCGCACTTTTATCTCTGAAATTCTATAATATACGTGACGTAAAGTAGCGTGCTAACATCGTTGTAAGCGCGTTCTGAATACAGGCCTATATGTAATTTATTTTGCGAAAACAAAGAATCGAGAAGCACTAGACAAGCGAAATAAATTATATATAGGCCCGTATTCAGAACGCGCTTTTATCGATAAAAGCGCACTTTTATCTCTGAAATTCTATAATATGCGTGACGTAAAGTATAGTATGTTAGCGTGCTAACATCGTTGTAAGCGCGTTCTGAATACGGGCCATAATGTATATGCCTTTTCTCCAATTCTCGTGCGTAACCACGAACAGTTTAGCCCGCGGCCCCGCGCTTTTCATCCTTTACATTACTGGATTTCTCTAGAACTCACTAGTACTGTAGTGCGCATGCGCTAAAAAGGCGGCATACCTAACAACACTGCTCCCGACTCCCGACTCAAAGTTGATCGAATAGAGTGATTTCTATTCTCGAGTCGGCAGTCAGAGTCGGCTGCTGCCTTGCTGTGATTGGTAGAATGATAGTCGGGAATCCGAATCAGTAGTCGAGTCAGAGTTAGGAGTCTGTAATGTGATTACGGCTTAAAGGCCATGGCACATAAAAAAACTTAAGGCATAAGACTTAAGGCCCGTCTACAATACACGAAGTAAGAAGTAAGAGTAAGAAATTGACCAATCACAGTCGATTATTCTTCTCACATTCGACTGTGATTGGTCAATTTCTTACTCTTACTTCTTACTCCGTGTATTGTAGACGGGCCTATAGAGTCGCAGGTCGTAAGCCGTAAGAAATTGGCCAATCACTGTTAAATGTGAGAAGAATAATCGACTATGATTGGTTAATTTCTTACGGCTCACCGCTTACGACTCTATTGTAGAACAGGCCAAAAGGCCATTCTACATTGATCGTATCGTAGCGTCGGAATCGTCGTAAGCATCATACGACTTAAAAATTGAAGCATTGGATTGGCTGAAGCAACAAGCTTGTGACTTGCGACGTCTACGATACCACCAATGTAGAACGGCCTTAAGGGCTGCCGCACACACCTTCCGTAACAGTAACCATAAGACGTACCATAAGAATTAATCAATCACAGTCGAGAATTCTTTTGAATTCTTATTAATTCTGATTGGCTGATACTTACGGTACGGCTTAAGATTACTGTTACGGAAGGTGTGTGCAGCAGCCCTAAGCGAATCGACCGATCACAATAGAGACCGTAATAGGCCTTCTACAATAAACCGCAAGTCAGAACGTCAGAAGTCTTAACTAGTCTTAACCAAGTTGTTCAAGTTGGCTATTGGCCAACTTCACCGATTATGACTTAAAATCGCTTAGAACTTCTGACTTGCAGCTTATTGTAGAAGGGCTGTAAGACCATACCACCGACGAGATGCTATTAAGGGTTGCCGCACACACCTTCCGTAACAGTAACCATAAGCCGTACCGTAAGTATCAGCCAATCAGAATTAAGAGTTCAAATGAATTCTCGACTGTGATTGGCTAATTCTTATGGTACGTCTTATGGTTACTGTTACGGAAGGTGTGTGCGGCAGCCCTTACAGCCCTTCTACAATAAAGGTAAATTTTCATGAGCTGCTCTAACCGACTATTTTAGCGACAAAAAGGATCACGCGATCAAAATGAACATTTGATATTCGTCAATTTTGACCACGTGATTCTTTTTGTCGCTGAAACAGCCGGTTTGAGCAGCCCGTGAAAATTTACCTTAAGCCACAAGTCAGAACGTCAGAAGTCTTAACCAGTCTTAACCAAGTCATTAACAGCCTTTCTACAATAAGCTGCAAGTCAGAACATCAGAAGTCTTTAACCTGTCTTAACCAAATCGTTCAAGTTAGCTATTGGCTAATTTCACCGATTATGACTCAAAATAGCTTAGAACTTCTGACTTGCGGCTTATTGTAGAAGAGCTGTCAAGTAGGCCATTGGCCAACTTCACCGATTATGACTCAAAATAGCTTAGAACTTCTGACTTGCGGCTTATTGTAGAAGGGCTGTTAAGATTGCTTAGGACTTCTGACTTGCGGCTTAAGCGGGGAGCACAGACTCTTGCATAACGCATAACACGTAATGCATAATCCCGGATCCTCATACGAGCAACAGCGTTTTGACACCGAACGCTAATTGGTGGAAAACCGTTTGTGGGGGTAAAATTTACTCCCATCACACGTTTTTCACCAATCAACTTTCAGTGTCAAAGCGCTGTTACCCGTATTAGGATCTGGGCTAAGAATATGTACCAATCGAAGTTCTCCGTTTCTTTCCCTTCCATGTAATAGAGAACTCTGGTTGGTTCAATTTCTTATGCTTCATGTGTTATGCGTTATGCAAGAGTCAGTGCTCCCCGCTTTATTGTAGATGGGCTGTTAAGGGTGCCTTCACATGCGGCGTAACCTGCGTATTCTAGTAATTTACTAGAATAAGTTATTTTTTATTTACTAGAATACGCCATTCTGAAAGCCGGCATTCACATTGGGCATATTTCGCGGAATATTAGAGAAATGCGTAACTAATGCAACTAATTGCTGATTAGAATTTCTGTTGTACACTCTAAAGAAATGCTAAACGAATTTACGATTGGTTTTCGTAACCTACACAACTCGAAAAGTACACCTCATGGGGAACCGGCACCTTTCCATCGCGTATATATCAGCGGATGATCGAATAAATTATTAAAATTGTAAAATTTTGTGAGACCACTCTTAGGCTTATTCGACGCATTTTTGCATGAAATGAAAGAATCTATCAAAAAAAACGTCCTTCTGCCTTGTGATCTAAGATATTAAGTGTAAGCCCGGATCCTCATACGGGCAACAGCGCTTTGACACCGAACGTTGATTGGTGAAAAACGGCTGGTGGAGTAAATTTTACCTCCACAACCGGCTTTTCACCAATCAGTGTTCTGTGTCAAAGCGCCGGTGTCTGTATGAGGATCCAGCCTTAAAGTTGACGGGCAACAGCGCTTTGATACCGAACGCAGATTAGTGAAAACCCGGTTGTGGGGGTAAAATTTACCCCCATCGCCCTTTTTTTACTAATCAGCGTTTAGTATCAGAGCGCTGTTGCCCGTATGAGGATCCAGGCTAATGGCCGCATCACACACTCTTGCATAACGTATAATGCATAGTGCATAATGGAATCAACCAATCGAAATTCTTCTTTTCCATGGAATTCGCTTATGCATTATGCATAATGCGTTATGCAAAAGTCTGTGTCGCGGCCCTAAAGGTATATCCACACAAACTTGCATAGCCGCATAAACGTATGCATAAAGAAAATTATCCAATCGCATTTCTCTTATAAAGACGCACGTGAAATGTGATTGGATAATTTTCGTTATGCATTCATTTATGCGGCTATGCAAGTTGTGTGGATATACCCTAAAGGCCGCAGCACAGACTTTTCCATAACGCATTAAGGTAAGAACTCATGGGCGGATCATTTGACGCGCGCGTCACGCGTCATTGGGGAAATAACTAGATTGCAGTAACTTGTAGCCAGGGTTGGGAAATTTAGCGCTGCGAGAGGTTTCCTACATTTCCTACGTAGGAAATGTATAATACGTACAAAACATGTATTAAACCCATTTCTCATGAAATACAGGTTACACGGTTACAGCACAGCAAGGCTACTGGACAAGGCTAATTAATGAAGGTTAACAGCGTTGACACTGTTAAAACAGGCTGTCAATTTCATTTTGATAATAAATATATGAAGACAAAACAAAGT